CTTCGGCTACTGAGGGTGCTGGTGCCGCGGGTCCCGGAGGTGCTGGAGCTGGAGCTGCTGAGGGCGTTGGTGCTGAGGCTACTGCTGTCGGTCCTGGAGGCGGTCCTGCTGGGGGTGCTACTGGTGCTGCTGGAGGTCCTGGAGCTGGAGGTGCTACTGGCGCTGGTGCTGCCGCTGGGGGTACTGGTGCTGTCCCTGCTGTGTCTGGAGTCGTCGCGCGGCCTAGACCGTACTTCGTTCCGCTCCTTCAGCAGGTTCTTGGTCTCCCGCCTTCTACTGGTCCTCCTCCTCCCTTAGAGTGTCCACAGCCTGTTCTGTCACAGTTACAGTTACAGCCGGCCTCCCCACTGCCCGCTCCTTCTCCCTACACTGGTCCTACTGGAGGTCTTGCTGAGCGTCGTGAGCCTGCGTCTCGCCCTGCGTCGCCTGTCCGTGCTGCTCGCACTAGTGGTCGTGGTTCGCGTCAGCGTCCTCCTCCTGTCCCTGGCACGCACCGGATGTCTCTGCGTCCGTCCACTGCTCCTCTGCGTGCCCCTTTGCCTTCTCCTCCTGAGTCCTCTCTTCCTGCTCTTCCTGACCCGGAGTCGGACTCTCTTCGTGCTGCCAGTCCTGCTGTCACACGTCTCCTTGCTACTGTCGTCACTGACCCCTCTTTTGAGTCCACTGCTGCGTCTGCGCTTGTTGCTGAGCTCGTCGACTTTGCTGCTCGCTGTCGTCTAGACTACGCTGCCGGTCTTGTTGCTGAGTCTGCGTCTGTCTGTCCTCCGTCCGTCGGGGGTGAGTGTGCTCTTGGCACGGACGTCCTTGAGGACAGGCAGGAGGAGTTCAGGTGTCTGGCTGCTGCTTCACCTCATCTCGCGTCCGTACTACTTGCCCCTGAGGGAGACCCGGATGCACTAGACATCCCGACTCCGCGCTCTTACGCGGAGGCCGTAGAGGGTCCCTACTCCTCTCAGTGGCAGGCAGCTATGGATGCAGAGATGGCGTCCTGGAAGTCCACAGGCACCTACGTTGACGCGGTTCCCCCTCCTGGGGCGAACATCGTCAGTGGCATGTGGATCTTCAGGGTGAAGCGGCCGCCGGGCTCTCCACCTGTCTTCAAGGCGCGGTACGTCGCTCGTGGCTTCAGTCAGCGGCAGGGAGTTGACTACTTTCAGACCTTCTCTCCCACCCCGAAGATGACCACTCTTCGGGTGCTGCTGCACATAGCCGCTCAGCGCGACTACGAGCTCCACTCTCTTGACTTCAGTACTGCTTTCTTGCAGGGTAGCCTGCACGAGGAGATCTGGCTGCGCCGTCCACCTGGCTTCACTGGGACTTTTCCTCCTGGCACCCAGTGGAGCCTCCGACGGCCAGTCTACGGTCTCCGCCAGGCACCGCGTGAGTGGCACGACACACTGAGGACTACGCTTGCGGCTCTTGGGTTTGCTCCCTCTACTGCTGACCCGTCGTTGTTTCTGCGCACCGACACTTCTTTGCCGCCGTTCTACGTCCTCGTGTACGTCGACGACTTGGTCTTTGCCACAGCTGACACTGCTGGACTAGCCTACGTGAAGTCCGAGCTGCAGAAGAGACACACGTGCACAGACCTCGGTGAACTGCGCAGCTACCTTGGCTTGCAGATCACTCGGGACAGAGCACGCCGCACCATTACCTTGACTCAGTCACACATGGTGCAGCAGGTCCTTCAACGCTTCGGCTTCACGTACTCCTCGCCTCAGGCCACTCCTCTGTCTACTCGCCACTCGCTCTCAGCTCTGCCTTCGGATGAGTCCGTAGAGTCGAGTGGCCCGTACCCAGAGCTTGTTGGCTGCCTCATGTACCTGATGACCTGCACACGACCTGACCTTGCATACCCTCTTAGCATTCTTTCACGCTATGTTGCTCCTGGGAGACACCGACCAGAGCACATGGCTGCAGCGAAGAGGGTGTTGCGCTACTTGTGCAGTACGTCGGGCATGGGGCTAGTGCTTGGAGGGCGGAGTCCAGTGGTCCTCACTGGGCACGCGGACGCTTCTTGGGCAGACGACCAGGCTACACAGCGGTCGTCGCAGGGTTACACCTTCAGTCTTGGTTCCGGCTCTGTCTCGTGGCGGGCTACTCGCTCGTCCTCTGTTCTCAGCTCCAGTTGTGAGGCTGAGATCTACGCCGGGGCCATGGCTGCACAGGAGCTTCGTTGGCTCACCTACCTGCTGACTGACCTTGGAGAGCCGCCTCGTTCTCCTCCAGTGTTGTACGTAGACAACAAGGCCATGCTGGCCTTGTGTCGAGAGCAGCGCTTGGAGCACAGAACGAAGCACATTGCTCTCCGTTACTTTCTTGCTCGTGAGCTGCAGCAGCGTGGTCAGTTGCGACTTGCGTACGTGGCCTCTGAGGCCAACACTGCTGATGTGTTCACCAAGGCACTTGCGCCTTGTGACCATCAGCGCTTCTGCACCCAGCTGGGTCTTGTACCTGTCTTGCCTCACTTGCTCTCTTCTTGACCTTGCTTGTACTGTCACATATATATTCCTGCTCTTGCTTGTCTAGCTCTATATATATATGTGTACTCCTGCATGTGAACTGGCCCTGTTGCCCTGTCGTTGTGCTCGGACTGTGTGGTGACTTTGTGATCCACCCTGAGCTTGCTCTGCTTTGCTTGACTGGTCTTGTGACCCCTTGTTCTCCCCCACTTTGCCTATGGGGGTGTGTCAGAACATATATATAGCTTATGCTGTTGTGTAGGCTATAGTGGGGTATCCCATAGGGGGTACAACCCAATTAGGGTTTCCTATATGTACTCACTTCATTCATAGTTCATTCATTCTCGTTCTACTTTTCTCATGATTGGGCGAAATTCGCGCACATTGCAAATTTTGGAGCTAAGTAATTCTGGTCGACCAGAATTGATCTGCTCGACGAAACACTCGTCGAACTAAATTATGTCGACCAGCAATCTGTCGAAACACCAATTCTGCCGATTCCATCTATAAAAAAGGCTCGTCTTCGACGCCGTTTTACTCCCGTCGACGAGCTCCTACTAGACGAGAACTTTGATCGAGCAGAGGAAACACTTCTACCTCGACCAATTAATCTCGTCGATAAACGACTCGTCGGACACAGATAAAAGTCCCCGAAGTCGCCGATGACCACGAAACGAACACCGTCTTGTTCCGAAATGCATGGTCGACTTTGCCCAAGCAAGGGCGGGGCCTTTTCTCTTCGACAGACCCAAGTTTGACGTGAGAGTAATCATGTGAGAAAGTTACATATGCGAGTAAACAACTGCCAGGATACTTCACCTCTTGCTGTTATCTTTATTACTTGCATAGTAATGATTTCACCAGCCCACAAAGCTCACCTGTCCAAAAGGTGCAAACAACTACTGTATGTCCCTCTTAGTAGCCTCAAATGGCTGGAGGAGAAAGGGAGATTGAGAGCAGGGATAGATGGGCGGGGGGAGAGTAAGATGGAAGTGAAAGAGATGGAGAAATGTGGTGCTGCTGAGTGTCCCGCTTTGTGGCCTTGAATGGTTGGGAAAGTGGCAACGGAGAAAACGAATGAAGAAACAAAAGCAGGCAATTCAGTAATGGGTAAGGGATGGTAAGCGCACACTCGTTATTTTCTTGCCTCTTTGACCCCGTTGCACAGCACTCCAAACCCCCCAACTCACCATATTTCACACCATAACCTTTATTAGCTCTCCTCTTTTTAACCCTTCTGAATTTGTCCATTCCCTCTCTTCTTGTTTCCAGTAGAAGCATTGTAGTGTCTCCTTTGCACCCTCTCCCCCTCTGCCCCTTCGGAAGCGCAGAAGAAACAGCCAGCGTATTCTGCCCACTCCTTGGTGTCACCTCAACTCACCACATTCCGCACGATCACTTTGGTTGAGCTCTCCTTCCCCTTGTGCCCTGCTTTTTCACACCCCGCTCCCTCCCCACCACCCTCCCCTTCCCCTTAACTCACCACATTCCGCACGATCACTTTGGTTGAGCTCTCCTTCCCCTTGCGCCTTGCCCCTGCTGCCTCCCCTTTACCCTCGCCCCCCTTTGCCTCCCCTTTGCTCAGCTGCAGCAGCAACGCGTGCCCATCCAATACCGTGCCCTGGAAAGAGTTGAAGGAAGTTGGGGTAAGAGGGGGGAAAAGATTAGAAGACACGTGTTCAGAATGGTGCAGGGATAGGTAGCAGGTTTCCTGCGGTTGTTCTTGCCCCCCATTCCCCTTCCCCGGTATGTGACGGATGCTCATGCATGCATGCGAAATGGCATGTGAACTGTAACACACCCACGAATCCAAACAACCATGCATGGGATGCGTGCTGGATGTGCGTGGAAGAATGCATTAGTACATGAGACCACGACGCACAACTCACGTGCAGCAGCTTGCACGCTCGGTGTGCACCGAGCACGGAGCAAAACCAAACTCCCACACTCGCATGCATATAACAAGGAACGGATGGATGCATGTGCTGTTTTCATGCATGAAAGGGAAGCACAACAGCACGTGGACCACACGACTCACCTGTAGCAGCTTACATGCGCGGTGAGCAGCGAGCACAGAGCCAAACTCCACGAATCCGAACCCCATCGACAGCTGCTTGCCATTTCGAACCCGCTTCTTTATATGCAGTGAGTTTACAACCAGGCGGGTGAGGGAGGAGCAGAATTGCACGACTGTTGAGGCGACTGCTTTATTTGCCACATTTGGCTCACAAATAAGGGAGGTTTTATATATGACAAACATATATATATATATATATATTGACACTTCTCAAAAGCTTGCCGTTCTGCACTCAAGGAGGTTCGGGAACAAGCAGAATGAGCACAAAAGGCTACGTGCATGGCAGTGAAACACGCAACGCAGGTAAAAAGCGCATGACCTCGCACAAGGAATCGTCAGCTGCTCTCGTCATTCATGTATGAGCACAAGATCCCCACCTCTCCCCTCTCCCCCCCTCTCTCCCCCTCTCTCTCCCCCCCTCTCTCCCCCCCTCCTTCCTCGCAACAAATCCACTTCTCACCATGACGCTGCGTATGGATGGACCCTCCTTGCCCCCTGCGTGCTTGCTTCTGAGAAGCTTCTCCAGGTGCTCCTTCAGCTGCGTCTCTGTTGTGGTGAAGCTCAGATTCTTCACACACACACTGTGGCTTGTGGGCTTGCATGCAGGGAGAGGGGGAAAAAGGGGAGAGCTTCTCCGGGTGCTCCTTCAGTTGCGCCTCCGTTGTGGCAAAGCTTAGATTCTTCACAAACACACTGTGGCTTGTGGGCTGGCATGGTGGGTACAGAAGGGAAAAGGAGAGGGTGGGAAGCAGGGAACAGGACGACGTTCAAAGAGGGAAGGTCAGAGCTCGGTGCAAGAAGCTTCTCCTGGTGCTCCTTCAGCTGCTCCTCCATTGTGGCAAAGCTCAGATTCTTGACAAACACACTGGGGCTCGTGGGCTGGAATGGTGTGGCCAAATGAAGGGCAGGCGTAAGGAGGGGGGACAAGAAGGCAGTGGGAAAAGAAAGGAAGGGCTGTGAAGCTCAAGTTCTTCACAAACACGCTGTGGCTCGTGGGCTGGCATGGTGGTGGCCAAAGGGGGCGATATGGAGCAGAAGCAGAAGCAGTGGCGCAGCGATATGGAGTCGCGAAGAGAGATCTCCTCGACCCATCGGCGAGCGACATAGCAGTGTGGCTGGCGTTAGGCGAGGCACACATAGTGGCGGATACCAAGCGCGCCTTGCTTGACGCCGGTATCGACATGGCTCTTATGGAGCAATTCGCCACTGCCTGCCGCCACACAGGCTCTTACCTTCATGCTCCATCGCCATGCTACCTGCTCTATGCACCCTCCCCCCCACGTAGCGGAAGCTGTAGCCCAGAGATATGGGGTAGCAAAACGCGATCTGCTCGACCCATCAGCCAGCGACACAGCAGTGCGGCTGGCACTGGGAGAGGCCCACATAGTGGCGGACACCAAGCGCGCCCTGCTTGACGCCGGCATCGATGTGGCCCTCATGGAGCAATTCGCCACCGCCGCCACCGCTGCTGCCGCTGCCAAAGCAGCTGGGAAGAAGGATGCCAAGGTGGATGGCGGTGCTAGTGGTGGTGGTGGTGTTAGCAGCTTGGCGCGCAGCAGGAGTGTGATTCTGGTGAAGAATCTGCCCTTCAAGGTGGAGGCGGGCGAGCTCGTGGGGCTATTCCAGCGGTTCGGACCGGTAGCGAGGTTTGTGCTGCCACCCACCAATACCGTTGCATTGGTAAGCGGGGTGGCAGGGGGGGAGGGCAGTGAGAGAGGGACGTGAGGCGAGGTGGGAGAAGGGGGGGGGGGGGGGGGGGGGGGGGGTTGGCGACTTGGTGGGTTTGTTTTGGTTGCATGGCGTGTGGAGTGGATAGGCATCGGCGCAGCACAGATGGGGAGGCTAAGCAGCTAATTTTTTATTCCCAACTTCCATCGCTTTTGTAGGCGTGTCAAGTTAAGTCTGGAATTTCCAGCATCCATGCTCGTATACTCTCAGACCCCTACCACCATCCCCCAATTCCCCGATCCTCTCCTCCCTCTCCCTCCCTCACTCCCATCCTTCCAACCCTTGTTTCGTCTACCCTCTTGTTACAGTCCCTCTTGTACTTCCCACCCTGTCCCTTTCCTCCACGCCCCCATCCCTTCGTCCCTCTCCCCCTTCACCCATCCCCCACATAACCCCCTGTCCGTCCCTCACTCCTATGGCCAGGTACAGATGGCTGATTCTGCTGATGCCAAGAGGGCCTTCAAAGGCCACGTTTCCTTCCCTTCACCCATCCCCCAATACCTCCTCTCCCCCCCAACCCCCCTTTCCCCCCCCATCGTTCCCGTGGTCAGGTGGAGATGGCTGATTCTGCTGATGCCAAGAGGGCCTTTAAAGGCCTTGCTTATAAAAGATACCAGTGAGTTGCTCGTATAGGGTACGTTTATTTTATGTTCTATAAGTGATTCAAATGAGTGCTTTTAGCAACTTAACCTAGTGATTTGCTCAGCTTGTCCAGCCTAACCTAGTGCGTCTAATAAGCGTTGGCGAAAACGCCAACTAACGCAATGTGGTTAATGTTAGCGCGGCTTGCAAAACCTTAGCCCATCCTAGCCTGATGCTTCCGTGCATTCCTTATTTTGATTTAGGGATTATCTTTAACTCCAACCTCCAGTCTCCTTCACCCTTTGCACCGTTCTCAACACCCTTCAACCTCCTTGACCTTTTTGTTTTTTTTTTTGGTCTACCAACCAGGCACGTGCCACTCTACCTCGAATGGGCACCAGAAGGAATCTTCCTAGAACTCGCAGCACCGTCAGACGCACCAGCTCAGGCAAACATAACAGCAGCTGTAGCAGCAGTAGCAGCAGCAGCATCTAGGGAGGCGGGCAGGGGGGCAGGAGAGGGAGGAGCAAGGGAAGGGAAGGAGGGAGGTGGAGTGAAGAGTATAAAGAAGCAGGGAGCGGTGGGGCTTTTACATGTGGTGGTGGATGGGAAGGCGGCGAGGCGCATGGTTGCTGAGGCGGAGATGGTGGGGGGAGTGGGGGGGAGAGATGGGGGAGGAGAGGGGGCGGAAGGGCATGCAGTAGAAGGGGAGGAGGACGGACAGGTGAGTCCAGGAAGGGGATAGCTGAGGGGATGAACAGAGGGAAGGGAAAAGGGTGGGGAAGGTGTTAAGAGCTGTCTGTGAGGAAGCAGGGAGCAGTGGGTTGCTGAGGCTGGTGGTGGATGGGAAGGCAGCCATGCGCATGGTTGCTGAGGCGGAGTTGGTGGGGGGAGTGGAGGGGTGAGAGGGGGGAGGACAGGAGGGTGAGGCACATGCGGTGGAGGGGGAGGAGGATGGGCAGGTGAGCCTAGGAGGTGGGGGGGAACGGGCTGGTGAGTCTTTGAGAGAAAGAATCTGAGGGATCAAACAATGGTGGTGGGCTGGATATGGGTGGAGCGTGGTGGGTGGTGGGGGCTGAACTGAGTTGAACAGTGCCCTCTCTCTTCCCCTTTGGCCACCACTGTGGCTCGTGGGCTGTGTGTTGAGTACCTGAGCTTCACCACCTGCCCTTTTCCCTTTTAATGCCTTCCTGGCTCCCCGTCCCCCCCCCCCCCCCCGCGTGCCTTTTCCCCCCTCTCCCTGCATCCCAGCCTACAAGACACAGTGGCGAAGAACCTGAGCTTCAATCCCCCCCCTTTCCTCTTCCATTGCCTTCCTGTCTCCTCTCTCCCTCCCTCCGCACTTGCAGTTTCCCCTCACTCGCCCCCGTTGGCCACCACCATGTCAGCCCATGAGCCAACAATGTGTTTGTGAAGAACCTAAGCTTCACATCCCTTCCTTTCTTTTCCCAATGCCTTTTTGTCCTCCCTCCTTACGCCTGCCCCCCCCTTGGCCACCACCTTCCCAGCCCACGAGCCACAGTGTGTTTGTGAAGAACCTAAGCTTGCCTGTCGTCCTGTTCCCCGCTTGCCACCCTCCCCTTTCCCTTCTGTACCCACCATGCCAGCCCACGAGCCACAGTGTGTTTGTGAAGAACCTAAGCTTTGCCACAACAGAGGCGCAGCTTAAGGAGCACTTGGAGAAGCTCCTCAGAAGCAAGCAAGCAGGAGCGGATGGGAAGGGCCCAGCGATTCGTAGCATCACGGTGAGATGTGGATCCACTATACTGTATGCAGGGAAGATTTGCAGCGAGGCTGTGCGGGGTGCTGTGCAGAGTGCTGTGCTCGGCGTGATTCATTCATGAATCCACTGTATGGTTCTCAAAGAAGGCCCAGCAATTCGCAGTGTCACAGTCGCAAATTGGCACTGAGGCAGTGGTGTGGAGAGCGGGGGAAGGAGGTGGGGAGAAGGGGGATTTTGTGCTCATGAACCAAAGAAACAGACACGAGGCAAGGCACTGGCATACGCATCTTTGACCTTCGTGTTTCACTGGCATGCACATGTTCCAAGTACCAATTCTGCTTGTTTCTCAGCCCCTGGGGCAGATTAAGAAGGCCCCTTAACCCGACAGTCATGTAACGCTGCTCTTCCCTCGCCCACCTTGCATGTCAACCCCCGGCAGATAAAGAAGCGGGTGCGGAACGGCACGCAGCTATCCATGGGGTTCGGATTCGTGGAGTTTGGCTCAGTGCTTGCTGCACACCGCGCTGCAGGTGAGTCGTGTCGCGTGGTCCTCATGTCGTTATGCATGAGTGAATGCGTATGCATGCACATGTGGTACATATTTTATCACGGTACACGATTGTTTAGGTCGTGGATCACTGCACACCATGCATGCAAGCTCCTGCAGATGAGTCGTGTGGTGTAGTCATCAGATCCGTATGCATTGACCCTCACACAGTTGGTACATATTTCATGGTTTTTGTTTGATCTCATACTTGCTGCATTTTTCCACGCACATCCAGCACACATCTCATCTCATGCAAGCTTGTGTGGGTTTGTGTGGTGCGCTCCACATGCCTTATGCATGCACATCCGACACATACTGGGGAGAGGGGATGTGGGGCAAGAACAACTGCACACAACCTTCCCTCCCCTCCCCTTCCCTCCCCTTCCCTCCACCATTCAAAAACAATTGTCTTCTACTCTCTTCCTCCTTCCTACCCCAATCGTATTATATTCTATCCACAGGGCACTGTGTTGGATGGACATGCGTTGCTGCTGCAACTGAGCAAGGCAGAGGCGAAGGCGGGCGAGGGGAAGGGGGAGGCAGCAGGAGCAGGGGGCAAGGGGAAGGAGAGTTCTACGAAAATGATTGTGCGGAATGTGGTAAGTTGAGGGACACTAGTGGATGGCCGGTTAGTCTCTCAGAGCTATCAAGGTGGCAAGCTGGAAAGGGTGCAAGGGAGACACCACAGGTTTTTAGTGTGGGTTTTTGTATAGCGGTGGCGGAGGGTGAGAGTCTGGGGAATAAAATTTCTTTTGTTTTCTCCTTCCTTCCTTGCGTTTCCTAAAGTCACTTTCCTTTCCCATCTTCCTCTCTCTCACCTTCCCTTCTCCTATTTCGCCGTTGCCTTTTCCCCCAACCATTTGAGTCCACCAAAGGAGACATGTAGTGGTCTATATTTCTTCCTCTCTCACCTCCATCTCCTTCCCTTGCCTCCCTCTTTCTCCCTCACCCTCTCCACGACATGACCATCCTTCCTTGCACTCACCTCTCCCTTGCCTTCCCCTCCAGCCATTTGAGGCCACCAAGAGAGACATTCAACAGCTCTTCGCACCTTTCGGGCAGGTGAGAAACGTGGGCTGGCGAAATTAGTTGTTCGTGGGCAGATGCATGCAAGTAATGCTGGGTAGGTACGATGACACTTCTCTGAGAAGTGGGTAGCACAAATTTATGAGTGATTCTTGGCAGGTGATTGCCTTCACATGTTCTCTACTGTATAGCACTGTTGAAGTCTCTGTGCTCCCCTCCATGCAATGGTGTGGCAGGAGTCGTGAGAGCTTCGAGGGCTTCAATTCTTTACAATGTGACGGTCTTTCCCCTTTACAGTTGTTTTTGTGCCCCCACCCTGCTCCTTCCTCTTAGGTTGCTAGGAACTGCATTCTTGTTCTCCAATTCTTTTCCCTTCCTTCTCTGCCTCCTTCCGTCTTGCTCTTCACTTCTCAGAACCACTCTTACTGACTTGGCCCCCCTCCTCCCCTTTCTTCTCAACTCTCAAGAGCATGCGGTTCTTACACAAGTCTGCGGGCACAGGGATTTCCCTTCAGAACTGCTGCCTGACTGCCCTCCACTTCACAACCACCTTCCCCTCTCCCCTCCCCACCAGCTCATGAGCATGCGGCTGCCATGCATTTTAAGTAGGGGGTACAAGTTGTTTGCAACAAGGAGGGAGGCCGAGAGTACCTTTGATGAGCTCAAGAGTACCCGTCTGTACGGCTACCACCTTGTGTTCTACCTCTTGCTTCTCCTCTCCCCTCCTCCCTCCCCTCTTCTGCAGCTGAAAAGCATGCAGCTGCCACGCAAGTTTGACGGGGGGCACAGGGGGTTTGTGTTTGTGGAGTTTGCAACAAAGAGAGAAGCAGAGAGTGCATTTGATGCGCTCAAGAGCACTCACCTGTATGGCCGCCATCTTGTGCTTGAAAGGGCCAAGGAGGGCGAGGAGCTCGACGAGCTACGTGCCAAAACTGCCGGCCAGTTTCTTGACGGGGGGGCGGGCAGCGTGCGGTAGAAGAAGCGTGCCAAGCTGGGGCAGGGCGTGGATGACAGTGACGTGGCGTTCCAGGAAATGCAGTTTGGTTGAATTTTTTTACACTAAAACTGATTGTGATTGTTAGTGGAAATGTTAACATCGGTAGTATCTTCCAAAGGCATCGTGCACTACGAGGTTTGACGTTGTTGTTAGGCCCGCTGGCCTAAGTCCGCTAAAGAATTAGCGTGGTCGACTGAGTCGAGGATGAAACGCGGCGGAAGACTTTGGCGAAAAGACTATTGGTGAAATAGGCGAAGAAGTTACTGAATAATTGAAGAAGAGTTGAATGAGAATGAGAATTTGTTTTTTTGTAACAAAAAAGATTTACAGATTGTGATTCGACTTGAAGAGGGGTTTGCTGTAAAGGAGACATTCTCCTTTACCTTTCGGCAGTTCCACGGGACCTGCCACCTAGTCTCATTTGCAACTTTCACTTGTCTAGTTTACCACCAGCACACACTAAACCCTTCCTTTGCCCAGATCTGGGCATAGGATCACCTTGTTAAAAGACGTTATTGCTGTCCGTTTTAATAGCATGACAGGCGGACCTGTTTCCGCTGTTAGCGGAAGGCTTCCCTCTTCTCGAATGAATTTACGGAGCGGTGGTCGTGGTGGTTCTCCCCAACGCGATGGTGATCGGGACTCCTCTTCTCGCCGTGAGCGTTCTCGCTCTCCCTGCGGCGGAAATTCTGCTGCCGTTACTGCTACGGATTTATTGAATCGTACGCGGCAAGCCCCTCATTGAAGCCCGAGAGCCGCAGGAGGCGATCGCGACGAATCTTCCAGACAGGATTTTCCTCCAGGATTTCACGGCGAACGATGTGCGGACGGGTTACGCGGAGGCGAGACGAACGCACCTGACGGAAATGTCGCGCCCAGTCCCGAGGAAGCCCCAGCACCAGCCGAAAATGCCACATGCGTGGCACCCTCTTGTCCTGCGCGTGGCGATCGTAATGATCGCGACACTGCGCGCGTGGACCGTAATCATGAGGGTCCTGCGCGTGGGGCCGGCGATCGCGATCTTGACCGTTGTGCGGACCACCAGGAGCAGGACCCGAGGCGAGAATCTCGACGCCCAGATCCTGCACCTCGCCCGGCGAATCCGCGCGTTTCTCAGGATTGTCGAATCTCGCCTTCTGCAGTAGCGGATTTTGCCGAGATTCTCGCGCGTCTTGACCCAGCAGCCCAGCGAAACCTCCAGCGAATCTTCACGGGAGCAGCTGGCGAACGCGTTACAGCGCACTCTACTGCATCTACAGCGCCCCACGCAGCAGAAAATTATTCTGCTCGTTATACCAACAATGAAGTTCCTGCCGCCGCCAACAACGAAGCCATGCATCATGTCATCGGCCTCCTCGCTGCTTTCTAGCGAGGAAATAATGGCGATCCCGCACTGCCTCCAGAACCTGCTCGTCCCGCAGTAGCGGCAGCACCACGCTCTCGCCTCCCCCCTCCGGCCAACGAACCCGATGGCGACGACGCGGGCGACAACACACCCATCAAAAACTCGGATGAAGGTATTGCAGCTTGTCCCAAACCCGGCTCTACCACCTTCAGCCTTGCTCCCATCCCCCCTACTCGCCCCCAGCTGCGTTCCTCCTTAGTGAAAAATGATGGTATCCGTACGCAACTGTTTAGTTTCTAGCGTATTCAAGCTATTGCACGTCACGCCATTTCTGTTTTGCCTTCTAGCGGCGGCGAGCAAGCTGCAAATAGTGGACAAAGCGGACGAACTGATTCATTTTCTCTTCACCGCCGACCAACTTGGTTTTGAGGTGGCTAATATGGCCTTAAAGATTGAATATGGCGAAGTGGTGGAAGATAAGAATGTAAAGGCTGCCACTCAAATCGTGGCAGCTCACAAAAAGAGACCTAATTGCCCCACCCATGCGAGCTCCCATAGCGACCCTCCCCCTCGTGGTCGAGGCCAAGGAGAGCGTAATTGGAACACGTGGCACCGTGACGGTGACGGGCGCTGCTTCTAATGTCGCGAACCCGGACATGGGATCGCGGATTGCCCCCAACGTGGCCAAGGCGCCAATAGCGTGCACTGTCGAGCTCCAACAGACTTGCACGCTTGGCGAACGGGGGCGGCGCATCCCGGTCCGACGCATCGCTCGCATTACTGGCATGCTTGCATCTATGGCGCTCGCCCTCGGCACCCTCGCACGCGCCTTCACACAATCTACTCTCACAAATCTCAGATTGCTCATCTCGGGGAGAGTCGGTCCTCTTGAACGGGGAGTCAATTGACGAGTTGCGCTTCTGGCTCTCCCAGTTCGATGTGTTCAACGGTTCGTTTTTTCACAACCCACATCTATACGACATCGTGTTGTATGTGGACGCGAGCGACAGCGCTTGGGGGGCTTGCTATTCCGCACCCGATGGCCGCGTCGGTTTGCTTTCATCACACTTACTTCAGGCTCTTGTCGCCTCGTCCAGCACGCTTCGCGAGCGGGAATTCTGTGGGCCCTCTCCACCTTTGCTGACGAGGTTCAGCGCTGCCACATCCTTCTGCGCAGCGACAGCCAGGCAGCCTATTATATTCTGAGAAAAGGGGGCTCACGTCGTTCTGAGCCGACAATTGTATGCTGGGCCATCATTCAGCTCAGCGTGCATCACAAGATTCGACTGATAGTTCAATGGATCCCGCGCGAGCTCAATACCGAGGCTGATACATTGTCAAAACTGGAACTCCACGACGACTACTCTCTCACGCGTCCTTGGTTCCTTTTGCTCGAGAGGCGTTGGGTGCCTCATTCCATTGACCTGTTCGCCTCACCCACCAATGCACAGTTGGCTCGTTATTGTTCCCTGGAATTCTCGCTGTGAAATTGATATGCCGCTTATTGTGTAGGCTGTAGTGGGGTAGCCCATATGGGGTACAGCCCAATTAGGGTTTCCTACTTGTACCCATCCTGCTGCTAGTTCATCCATTCCTCATTCATTCGCCCTGCCCTGCCCTGCCCCGCATCGCGTTGCCTCGTGCACGCCCTGCCCTGTCCCGCGTCGCGCTGCCTCGCGCACGCCCTGCCCTGCCCCGCGTCGCGCTGCCCCGCACACGCCTTGCCCTGCCCCGCGTCGCGCTGCATCGCGCACGCCCTGCCCTGCCCAACGTCGCGCACGCCCTGCCCTGCCCCGCGTCCCGCTGCCTCGCGCACGCCCTGCCTTGCCCCCGTGCCCTGCTGCCCTGCGTGTCGCACCCTGCTGCAGCCCGCGCGTCGCGCTCTGCTGCCCCGCGCGTCGCGCTCTACTGCAGCCCGTGCGTAGCGCCCTGCTGCCCTGCGCGTTGCGCCCTACCGCCTGCCCGTTAGGCCCGCCGCGGGCCTTCCCTTCGCGCAGCCGCGCCTGCCCGTTACGCCCGCTGCCACGCCCACCTGTTAGGCCTGCCACGGGCCTTGCCTTCGCGCCGCCGCGCCTACCCGTTAAGCCCGTCACGGGCCTGCCCGTTCGCCCCTCCCGCACCTGTCCGCTACGCCCGCCGCGGGCCCGCCCCTTGCGCCTACCGTGCCTGCGTTTTGCGCCCGCCGTGGGCCTGCACTCGCTGCCCAGCGCCGCCCTGCCCGTGCACGCTGCTGCCCGCGCCAGCGCCCTGCCCTGCCAACGCTGCCCTGCGCGCGCTGGCGCCCTGCTCTGCCCTGCCCGAGCCGCCTTTGCAGCGCCCTGTGCGCCCTGCTAAACCCTAAAATAAATAAAAAGATTTATTAATAAAAAAAATCCCTTGGTGCTTCTGCCCTAGGAGCTACTACCTGCTACTGGCGGCGCGCCGCCCTGCTGTGGCCGCACGCCGCCCTGCTCTGGCCGCACGCCGCCCTGCTCTAGCCGCGCGCCGCCCTGCTCTGGCCGTGCGCCGTCCTGCTCTGGCCGCGCTCAGCCCTTCTCTGCCCGCACGCCGCCCTGCTCTGGCCGCACGCCGCCCTCCTCTGGCCGCGCGCCGCCCTGCTCTAGTAGCGTGCAGCCCTGCTCTGGCCGCGTGCCGCCCTTCCCTGACCGTGCACCGCCCCGACCTACCCTAGTGCCTCCTCGCCGCCCTTCCTTCCCTATGTGCTGCCCTGCTGGTCGCATGACTTCTCTTCACGGCAGCGGTGGGAGTGGTGGCGACGGTGGCGGCAGCAGTGGGAGTGGTGGCGGCCGTCGTAGCAGTCACTGTGGAGCTGTTCGGTGGGGAGTTTCTGGCGGTGGCCAGATGCAGCTGCAGCGGCGTCCGCGTGAGACCCTTATACCCCAGCAACTTCGTGAGTGGTTTGCTTAGCGCTGGGCATCTCACCGTAGTGGCCGTAGTGGCAGTCGCGGTGCAGCTACTCAGTTGGGAGGTTCTGTCGGTGGTTAGATGCAGCTGCAGCGGCGTCCGCGTGAGACCCTTACACCCCAGCAGCTTTGTGAGTGGTTTGCTCAGCGTTGGGCGTCTCAGCGTAGTGGCCGTAGTGGCAGTCGCGGTGCAGCTACTCAGTTGGGAGTTCTTGGAGGTGGCCCGGTGCAGCTGCAGCGGCGTCCACGTGAGACCCTTACGCCCCAGCAGCTTCGTGAGTGGTTTCCTCAGCGTTGGGCGTCTCAGAGACGTGCTGAGGGTGACTGTTAACTGTGTGTGCCGCCCGACCCAGGTATAGAGGCTGCTGCTCTTGGTGCTAGTGAGTCTGCTCTCTTAGGTACTTGTGAGTCTGCTCTCTCTGGTACTACATCTACTGCGGCCCTGCACACCTTCACACTTGACTCAGGTGCTTCCCGCTGTTTCTTTCGCGACAGTACCACAGTCACACCGCTCTCTGCACCTGTTGCTGTCTCTTTGGCTGACCCCTCTGGGGGCCCAGTCCTTGCACGCTCCTCCACTGTTCTGCCTTGTCCGGCGGTTCCGTCTGGCTCACTATCAGGCCTCCACCTCCCCTCATTCTCTACGAACTTGGTGAGCACCACTGTCCTTCAAGATCAGTGGGTTGACACCTTCACCCCTGGAGGACAGCGTGTGGCGATCTGTACGTGCT